TCTGTTACTTTCTGGAACTGTCATGATTACTAAATAGGAAAAGATAAATGTATTATCATGCTAGCTTAACAGCTTGGAAAACTGAAGACCAAAAAAACTGTCTGTTGCTGTCTTCTACCTCCTCATCCAGGCTAATATTCTCTCACATAATTTATCCCCAATGTTGGCTCCTTTTCATAGTCACACACAGATACTCATATACTGTATTCACCTGTCATCCTGACCTACTTACTGTATTCAGAGTACATGTGAGAGAACTGCAAATGACTCTTTGCTCTGTTCAAAGACTCCTGCCACCTGAAATCCCCCACTAATTCTTGAAATCTTAGCTGACATTCTTAAAATGTTTCCACTACAGTGACCATCTCTCTGACATGCGTGAGCAAGTTTTCATATTTACCTCAATGATTGTTACCATTGCCCAAAGCCCTTTTCTGGTGTTAATTGTTCATTGTCATTGCTGTCCTCCACAGAATAATAGCTTCCTGGCCTCCAGGTTGGTATATCAAATGGGCTTAATGTGTATATTCAATAAACCAATTGCACACTCATGAGTATAACTCATAGTTTTGCAATACATTCTTCATAGTTTATTTTTATTTGGATCAGAGCTGTTTTGATATCTCATTCTTAGGTTGATTTCTTCCTTTCTGAATCTTTCCCTCTAGTAAAGGGACCTGCTAAAGAAAGGTAGCTTCTCTGATCTCATCATAATTCTCCCCCTGTCAGAGGAGCTAGTGATGAGGTCTTGGATCACATGTAATGTTACTGACCTTTACTGACTCTTCTGAACTTCTGCAGCAATTGTCTATAGAACTAAAGCAACTCAAAGTAGAATTATTTTCAGTTAATTCCAACATACACCTGGAAGAGTCATCAGTACTATTTATTATTTTCTTTCTTCCTAAATAATTATTTTTTATTTTAAAAAGAGTGAAAAAACAGTAGCAAAATAATAACAACATAGACAAAAGCAAAACAAAACAAAAACAATAAAGATGATGCAGGGTTTCAAAACAAAATGATAGGAATTAACAGTGATTGTTATATTACATATGGTTATCTTCAACAAAATTGCTCAGATTACCAGATGTAAGAATGCAAGACTGGTCAAACCATTAGAGAGAATAAAAAATAATTTTAAAAACCATTAGAAATGATACAGAGCTTCCACTGAACAAGATGGTAAAAGTTTACCAGGGGTTATTACATTGCATATTGTTGTCTTCAAATTAGTTGTTCAGATTACCAGTTATAAGCATGTCTAATGGTTCATCAGGAGGAACAGTTAATGCTTAATTTTTTTTGACCAATTTTGCAATGTTCCTAAATAATTATCACTTACATAAACAAATTGTTTAGTGCATAAATAAATACAGTTATTAAAATATTAAAATGGTATGTTTTTCTCTTCTTGTTCAAGTAGTTGTAAATCTTAAACTATAGTTTCACATTTAATCTATTTCTGTTTTATTTGGAGACAGAAATTAAAGTCTTGAATAAGCTCATCATTGTTTCTCCCTCAGTATTGACCTCTTGATAACTTCATATTCAGGAAAATCAGTCCCTAGCAGGGCAGCCTTATGACTCAATTCAGGCACTAACTCTCCCTTCTGCTGTGCAGATTAGTTCAGATGATTGGCATGAGGCCTCACCCAGGACAATCAGGTCCTGTAGTAGCAGAATAGAAAATGGTTAAACTCAGTAGAGAAGATATTACCAATATTTCTTTTGAAAAGAGGTTAACTGTAAAAATTTGGAAAGAATGAGAGGAGAAAAAGAGGACAGAAACAAGAGAATGACTAAGCTACTGTTGCACCATGCCTGATGCACCATTTTTGCCCTTTCCTGGGTAATGAGATCTGTGCACCAGAAACACTGACAGCACTGGGGATTCTTTTGCAAAAGCAGAATTTCAGTTTCTACTCTAAAACTATGGAATCAAACCTGCATTTAAAAGAAAATCCCCGAGTGCTTCATCTAAACATGGAAACCAAAAAACTTTCATAGAGCTGCATTCTTTAACCATACCCCGTGTTAAAACTACTGTCCTTTCCAAACTTTCACAACCCTTCTCACCACAGGGCCTTTGCAAATGCTATTTTCAGTACTAGGAAGACTCTTTTCTCCTCTTCTTCACCAAGTTCACTTAATGTTAAACTTTAGATCTCAGTTCAAATGTCTTTTTCTAATGAGTATCTTTATAAATTAAAGCTCTTATTACGTACTTATTTGTGAACGCTTTTTAATAATCATAGTGCATATTAAATTTTTTTTGTTTGTTTGTAACCAATGAATGTCTACTACCTCCACTGGCAAATACTGTATTTTTAACATATATTTCTTGAATGAGAAATACCTGAGTGAATGATGTAAAAAGTCTTACAGATAAATAAAATGAAACTCAGTATCTTATTTCTCTATTATTTTGAAAGATAGTTTTACTGAGTACATCAATCTGGGTTACAGGTTATTTTCTTTTCTTTTTTTTTTTTTTTTGGTTTTTCTCTGGTACCGGGAACCGAACTCATGACCTTGCGCTTGCCAGGCAGGCGCTTTTGCCGCTGAACTAAATCCTCAGCCCCGGTTACAGGTTATTTTCATTCAGAATGACTACCTAAATATCACCTAAAGAGTTAGAAATCTGTGTACAGAAATTCTATTTTTTTTAGTGCTGACTTTGTATCTAGCTACACTACTGAATCTGCTCATTAAACCTGAAAGTCTTTGGTGGAGGTTTTGGAGTTCTCTATGTAAAAATCATGTCATCTGAAATGCTAATAATTTAACTTCTTCCTTTCCTATCTCTATTTCTTTTTTCTTCTTTCTCTTGTCTAATCTAGATTTATGAAGCAAGCCCTTAGTTTTGATTGTCACCTTTTTTTTTTTTAACCTGAGAGATTATTTCTCATCTGATTTTCACTAAAGACTCATCCATTTGGTCTTTTATTTGTTTGTTTGTATTGTTTTTTACTTCTGCTGCTAGCATCAGAAAATTCAAGTGGGTTGTTTCTCAAATTTTCTATCTCATTATCTCCTGGACTTTTCCTGGGTTAGTTGGTGGACTAGGGTTACATTTTGTTTCTACAACTTGTCATTTTCTATTTTCTTAAATTTTAATTTTGCTTTCTATTTTGATGCTTATTAATTACTTATGGTAAGTTGTTTTTTCATGACTATCCAGACTTCCTTAGGAAATGCCTCTTCTTCACTGATGTCTTCTAGCTATAGCTGGATCTTGGCCTTTGTAGCTTTTCCAGGGTATTACTTTCTCAATTTGTTAGGGATGAGAAGTTACTATCCATTTGTTTCAGGACCCAGACCTTTAGTACTAGGTGATGATTATGCCATCAGGTAATCACAGTGTGGTCATACAAGGGAGAACAACTGATTACAAAACATATGACAAGAAGGCTAAAGTAGTGCATTTCCCAATAACAATAGCATCATGTACAGCCTACAACCTGACAAACTGCAGTAACTATTAATTTGTTACCTTTAACCACAAGAGGAAGATTTATAATTATATAACCATATCTAACGTAAGTCAGAAATTATATGGTGTGAGTTTCCCCTTAGTACAGTGATTTTATCTACTGGTGGAAAATTTAAGAGGGATAGGGCAAAAATTAGAGGTAAATTAAAAGAAATATAGTGGAAACAAAGCAGAAGGACACAAAATGATCACCCAAGTTTTGGGAAACTGGAGAAGAGGGCAGGAGAGTAAGAGAAAGAAAACGGTTATTAAGCCAAACCAGAAACAACTAGAGACAATGTTCACCCACAAGAAAATATCTAAAAAATTCCACAAATAGAATTGAGGGAAGACAGACAAAAAGATGAAAAAATAAAACTCACTGAGAGAAAAACTAGGGAAACCACACCTTTCCCAATAGCATCAAAAATGTACTTAGGAATCAATTTAACACAGGAAGTAAAAGTATTTTACATTGAAAACGACAGTACTCTGAAAAAGGAGATGGCAGAGGATATCAGAAAATGAAAAGATATTCTAATGGTTGATACATTGTGTCAATTTGAGAAGTTTAGAAGCTCAGCTGATTAACTAAGCAGTTCTACATCCTAGGGTGCACAGGACACGCCCTTACTGCTCTAGGATGTTGTCGGTTGTGTGAACTTGAGAAGTTTAGGAGGTTTAACTAAGTGACTCAGCAGGTGGCCAGGTGCCTCACTTTGTGAATACCCTGAGCCTGAGCAAGAGGAGGGCTGGGAGACAGTGTAACTGCTGCATCCACTAGGGGGCAGGTAGCCTGCATACAATATAAGGGAGGAAAAAAGCTTGCTCCCCTATTCCTTTTTTCTCTTGTTGCTTTTGCTGTCTTCTGCCACCTTGAACTGTTGGGCCTGTGCCATGCCACCCTGCCTTGGAGCCAGCTAATTATGGACTGAAACCTCTACAAACTGTAAGTTAAATAAACCTTTTCCTTCCTTTCCTTTCGGTGTCAGGTACGTTTTTCTCATCAACAAGGTAAAAGTAACGAAGACAGATATCCCTGGCTTGTAAATAGGAAGAATCAACATAGTAAAAATGGCCATAATCCCAAAATTGTTACACAGATTTAATACCATTTTGATCAAAATACCAATAGCATACCTCACAGCATTAGAGAAAATAATCCTAAAATTTACTTGGAACCAGAAGATACCTCGGTGACAAAGGCAAAGCAGGAAGCATTACAATCCCTGACTAAATTATACTACCAAGCTACTATGATAAAAACAGCATGATACTGGCAATAAAAAAGACATATAGATCAATGGAATGGATTAGAAGATTCAGTGAAAACTTCAAACACACTCAAATACCTTCTTTTTGACAAAGGGTGCAAACACTTTTCACTGAAAGAAAGATAGCTTCTTTATTAAATAGTGCTGGAAAACTGGCTTTTCACAAGCCAAAAACTAAAACCACACCCATGTCTCTCACTATGAACTAAACCAAAATCAAAATGGATCAAAGATTTAAATATTAAAAACAGAAACACCGGGTCTGAGCCCAGAGAGAATCTTGAATTCTGGGAAGGCTTTGATTCCCCAGTGATTCCTGAACAACCCCAAGAAAGTGCTGGAGGACAGCGCCAAGGACTGGAAACGGGAGATGGAGGTGCTGCCAGAGCCACTGAAGGACCTGAAGAAGCAGCAGGCACAGGTGGACTGGGGAGCCATGGTGCGGCAGCACGGGCTGTCCCGGGTTCACCCCAGTGGCGGCAGCAGGAGGAGGATGAGGCTGCAACTGCGCCCCCGGCCCTGTGGGCCCAGCCCACGGCCATCCTGTGTGAGGCCCCGAAGGCCAAGAGGAGGGCGGAGGGCGTGGGCAGCAGGTCGCAGCTCTCTAGCTCGGTGGTGCTGAAGAAGAGAAAGGCAGAAGTGAAGGCCACTGGCACCAGGTGGGGCCCGGCTCCTCAATCTTGGGGAGCCTGCGACAGAAAAGAGGCCGCTGACCCCCGCCCGCAGCCTCCTGGCGCCTCCTGCCTGAGCCAGCCGGGAGCCTACGGGCAGTGGGCAAGCAGGAGCGTCTCAGCCCGGAACGTGAGGACCACTTCTCCAGAGGCCTGGAGGATGGGCAGCACGGTGAACCATCCTGTCAGGAAGCCAGAAGGGCTAGGCACAGGGACCCAGACAGACACCGGGGCCCTTCCCGCCCAAGGAGAAGTTCTGCTGACAGGCCTGGGAGCGGGTCGCTTAGGGAGGGCGGCGAGACAGCCGGAGCCTGCAGGCTCGGGAAGTAGGGTGTGAGTGCTACAAGGCCAGGCGCCCAGGCCGACAGAAGAGCGAAGGCCTCCGACACGGGCACAGTGGTCGGGAGGCCCTGCCTGTGCCTGGTGGCAACAGGAAAGACCAGGACGGGCCTGTGGAAGGAAAACCGAGCTTGGAACTCTCCGGGCCCTTCTTCGGGACACAAACACCTTTCAGGGTGTAGTCATTCGAGACAGGGAGACCCCAGAAGCGCGCATCCCCCAAACACAGTGGCGGCTCTATCCCTTTAAAGAGGACGAGCTGCTCTCCTTCCTGTACATCCATCTCTAGAGTGCTTACCTTTTGGGGCGACGCTGCGGGATCGCGGACACTCCCATGGATCATCCATTCTGTTCCAAGCAGCACGTGGTCCTTCAGTACGGGCTGGTGGAATACTCTCGTGCTGATGACACTGAAGGGTGAAGCCCTGTATCATGGACTTGGGCTCAGGCAACGGGACTTTCTTGAACAACAAGCGTATTGAGCCACAGAGATACTACGAACTCAGAGAAAAGGATGTCCTTCAGTTTGGGTTCAGCACCAGAGGGTACGTCCTACTGCACGAGTCATCACATACCCCCGAACGAGACAGGAAGGAAGACATGGATGAGCACGAGCAGAGCGTAGTTTCTCACAGCTAGCAGACTCAGAACCCGAGCTAGTGAGATACGCTTGCTGTCTTGAAGCACCGCCCGTCATCTTGGACTCAGGGAGCAACCTGTGCTGCGCTGCCTCCCGCCTCTGAGTGCCCGAAGTCGTCCTTCTGTTGCCAACCAGCTGATGTTACTGTGCGAGGACACCGACTTTGGTCTCCTTGCACTTGTTCTGGGGCTCATCCGCCCCGGGGCTGTGGATGTTTGTTTCCAGAGCTGCTCCTGAGCAAACGAAACCCTTGCTTCAGGGGAAACTGTGGCTTGTTCTCTTTGCACAGTTACTTTCTTGATGGAGCTAGAGAGTTGTGTGGACCAAGAGTTTTTGTTTTGGGGGTGCAAAGCCCTGAGCAGAGAATCTTACTGAGCTCTGGTGCTCACAAGAACAGCTTCTAGCTTGACCAAAGCCTCAAGCCGCTTGAGCTCCTCAGTCGGAAAGTGGAGTTTGCACTGAGCGTTTGGTTTTCCTGCGGTTGCTCTTGGGGCTACTGAGGGGCCTCCTTACTGACTGTTCAGCTGTATAGCACCTCCTGAAGCACAGCACTATAGAGGAAGATCAGGCCTAATAACAAAGAGTCCTGGCCTACTATCCTGAGAGGCTGAAAGGGGCTGTGGATCTGCATCCTATGAGAACATTTCTGAGTGCTGCGTGGAACCTGTCGGTCACAATTTCTGTCATCTTGTCTTCAGTTTTACAGTCAAATGGTTTTTTTTTTTTTTTTCTCTTGAAAAATACACTGTCAGCAGGGCGTTGGGGTGCGTGCCTGGAATCCCAGCCCTCAGGAGGCTGAGGCCGGAGGATTGTTGCAAGTTCGAGGCCAGCCTGGGCTACAAAGTGAGCTCAAGGTCAGCCTGAACTACATAGAAAGACCCTGTCTCAAAAAGACAAAAAAAGAAGAATACACTGTCACTTAAAAAAAAAAAAAGACAGAAACACTAAATCTTCTGGAAGAGAGGATAGGTACAACTCTTGAAGAGTTGGTATAGGCAAAGTCTTTATGAGCAAAAGTTTGACCACACAGGAATTATCACAAAGAACCACTGGAATCTCACCTTATTAAAGAGGGTTTCCACAGCAAGAGAAGCCATTATCAGAGTGGTGAAACAATCCACAGCATTGTCTTTAAAGTTGGAACTCTTTACTCAGCACAACAGTACAGGGGAGGCTCATGGAAATTTAAGGCAAATTCAATCCAGTATACTTTGGCATAAAAGTAGAGACCAATAGATAAAACATTTTAAATCTTTCTTTAACCACCAGCCGTGAATTGTTCTTAGGCATTCCTACACTTTCAATAACCATAAGCAATATCCTAGAGTTTTTCCTTGCCCATCTTAGACTCCTGTTTCCTGAACTCTTTTATTATGGTCCCAAATTTAGAATTGCTGTTCTACATCATAAAAATGGTTCTGTGCTATATATCTTTCAAACTTGGATGTCACAGCCCTAATATTGTACTCAACAGCTTCCTGTAGGCATAACTAAATTTCTGTCATTGTTTTTCAAATAGTCACTTAGCTTGTAACTCATGTATACGAAGTAACTATATTTAATGTGTATTATTATATATTTACCATAATGTGAGTGCTTCTATGGAGACGTGGATTACCTCTGGATGCTTTAAATACAAGCTCAAAAGACCCAACCTGACACAGTATCCTCTTTATTGCAAGGCTACTACTTCTTACTGTGTCTTCCATCTGTGTAAGACACACCATTGCTTTCTAACTTCAGTCAAGCCATCAAATTGACCTATATTCTGTCATGGCACCATTTGTTTATTTCTGCTCTTATACTTACAGAAAAAAAAATCACAGTGTTCTGATCTGCTTATAACTTCCAACAAATACTCAATATTTTAATGGAAGCAATGTTCTTAATTCATCTTTCTAACCCTAATATCTATCACTGTCTTCCATTCAGAGGTACTCAGTAAATTTTGAACTCATTGGTTCATTTGATGAATGCAAAACAAGCTTAACATGTCATTTTTTCTCAAATGGAACTCAAAATAGGATTAATTTTGTCATCCCTCAGAAATGAAGCCCATTTCTAATATGCCGTCAGTGAAGGAGAAGATGAAAGAAAATTTGCAAATTACAATAACTTGACAGCTGCTCACTAAACAATACCACATTAATTTTCAGCATGGTTCACATGGCTGAATGGAAGATCCCTTAATCCCAGGTCCCATTTTATTTTTGCCTCATTGTCTCTGTCCCCTCTTTGTATCATTTGCAGAAATCACCAGTGGCTGTGTACTCTCTTACACCTTATTATTGCCAGAAAAGTCATAGACTAGGTTAATGCATATCTGCTTCCCAGAGGTATGTGAAAATGGATTTAAGTTCTTTATATTCGATGATTGACTTTGAGAAATCCCCTCTTTATCAGGTACCAGCAGAGACATTGAAACTTTCAGGAGTGACAGTAAACTCACCACATATGCTTGAGTTCTACAGACATAATAACTTTTAAAAGGATTGAGATTAACTCAGCCATTTATGAGTAGGCATAATCAGATGACCCTGTGTGCTGGGGCCAATGAAACAGTGTGGCAGAGCTTTAAATTATTAGTTCCCAAAGATCTGTGTTTGAGCAACTTTTCTGAACAAATTCTGTAAGCTTTAGTCATGTCACTGTTATTCTTTTGTTCTTGGCTTACTGTTTCCCACAAATGATTACCTTCAAAGAAAAGGGTTGGAAGAGTCTTTCTCTAAGAGTCTCTTTGCTTTTCAAAAAGACCAAACTGTGTTATCCTATTTTTGAAAGCCTAATCACCTGCTCAGGGGAACTAAAGATATCGTTCAAACAGAGCATATGAGTGGCACAAAATACAGCCTGTTTAGAGAAGAAGAAAGGTAATTGCAATTGAACTAGCATTTTGGAGAGTAAAGTGCTGTTTTTATGCCTATTGCAATCTTATAATAAATAAACTGATCAAAACAATCCATGTTTTGCCGTGTAAAGCTATTCTTATTTATTTACCCTGACTTTCTGGCAAAATACTCATAGGCATTTAAAACAATTGCCTACAGAGCCAGTCAGAAATGCTGACCCAAGAAGTGATTGTATGGGCTAGGAAATTATGAGTCAAATGAACACTAATAATTACACTCATCAGATAAGCCAAGTAGCATGTCAGGTCTTCAGGAAGGCTTTCTCCCAGAGGTGGATTAAGTATGAGCACACAGTAGACTTGAAGCAGTATATCATGATGTGAAGGAGAAAACAGGGCAGACCCAGGCATGCTCCTTTTCAGGCTTTTCTCTGGGGTGCTTTGATTTTCTTAATCCTATTGGAATTGCTCATGGATTGGAGCTAAAATTGAGGAAGGATAAAGTAAACTTTTAATTGTTATCCCTTCAGGTTTTACAAAAAGCAAGATAAGATTGAGTCAGGAAGGACCAAAGTGTGAATACTCCTCTGAGAAACAGCAACAAAAAATTAAAAAGATAAAATGTGACCAGTACACTCTTATGCATGTATGCACTACCTGATAAAAACTGTAGCTTGTGACTTGTTTTTCACTTATTCACATGGGCATATATGTACTATTAAATGTAGTATATGGAAATTACTTGTCTGTGGTACACAAAATTTTTTTATGTGTATTGTGTGTATGGTGTGTGTGTGTGTGTATCTGTGTGTGTGTATAATTTTAGGAGGCTCCAAAATGACAGCCTATAAGGAATAAGATGTGCATTTGCTTGTTTGCCTTAATGGCTCAGGATCTGACCCCAGCCTACAGCAGCCTTCCTAGTTCCAGCCATTATTCAACCACATGCAGCCCTGCATCTGAGCCTGTGAGTCATACGGACTCACTAGAGCCAGGAGGAAACAGTTTTACTCCCAAGTATGTATTTGTGCTTCTCCTTGTGGTTTACTTACTCAGAAGGTAGCTCCCCTTAAATATCTAACAGAGTTATACTCATCCTCTGTGAACAAAATATAGTGCCACTAATGGCCATGTGCTCAGTCGTTTTCAAACATCTCTTTTACACTGTTATACAAATACACATCGCATTTCAACAACTATGTGTTTGTTGGCCCCAACTCTTCCACTACAAATTGACAGACAAGGGAGGAAACACATATCACTGAGTTTTTCACACGGATACCTAGAAATACATCTTGGAATACTGGAAGAGCAGAATGTAGTTATATTCCAAAAATATATGTGAAATGAATTTCTATGTATATGTGATTTCAACTTTAGCTGCTCTTCTATTTTAGCTTATATTTTAGTTTATCTAACTCTATTCAAGGGCACATAGTTTTGCCAAGAAATTATGAATAGTATTGTGGTGGTGATCTGTATGATTTATCTGTATGATGATTTATAAATAAGTCTCAATTATTTGCCCATGTAATCTCTGTTACCCTTCAAAGATGATGTGTAGGATCATTATGACAGTATCAAATTGAATTGAGATGTAGAAAAATGAAGAAAATTCTCTCTCTTCTTGTTAAGAACATTAGCTTAATTTTTTGGGGGGAGTACTCATCAAACTTTTCATTTTAAATGTGTATTTTATATTAAATAGATTCCACTGAATGAAATATCACATCAGAAAGAATGCTTATTGAAACATTTCAGTAAAATCCCATGCGGGGAAACTAGGGATTTATCAAAGAATATGATTGTAATGGAAGATTTGAAGATTGAAGATTTTTTCATTTACTTCCTTCACTCATATGGACTACTGTTCCTAGACTTGTACATATATTTACTAGTGAGGGTAAAATAAAACATACTAGAGAGGAAAAATCATGTTGCCATTATAGGTATTGCAAAGAAACTGTTCTTTTGAACTTCACTGATCCCATGTATTGAAAGTAAATATGAGAGAGACTCAATACATTTCTCTGTTACACATGCACATATACACTTATAATTCTTAATTTTATATGTGACAGTATTTGACTTTTTTTTTTTTTTTGGTACCAGGAATCAAACTCAGGACCTTGCACTTGCCAGGCAGGCACT